CCTTATTTATAATGTTTGAATGAATCTATACAAAAAATTGTCAAGAATATAAATTTATATACCATAAAAAAATGACAAAGGGAATGATTCAGTAGTATCCCATTGCCTATATAACTTCCAAAATAAGCAATCCATCACTCATTTGATAATAAATTCATCTGATGTTTGTTAATCTCCCAAAGTTAAAATTTTTAAACTAACACTGACAACAGAAATACATTTTAATGCAAAACATATGGAGCAAAAGAACTGATGAAGAACCAGTCATCTGACCATTATTACAGCAACGACAGTTAAAAGAGAATTTTCACTTAAAATTAAAGTGCTTTCACTGTAATAAATAACCAAACAGAACACTAGGACATGTAGACTCTTGTTCATGGAGATGAAAAAGAAGAAAGCTGAGGTTCCAGCCTACCACCATTTTTACAGTGACTAGACACTATCTGGGTTCTCCCTGAGAAACCTACATTTCTAATCCAAGTTACTCATTTAGAACTACACTATAGACAGGCCCAGGTGCTTAATACACTCATTTACTTCTGATGCAATTTATTAATTCTTTTGTATGAGCTAGGACCTCCTAGCTCCTTAATTTTTTGTGGACAACAACTTTCATTATTATAATTATTCATGGCTCCATAGTATCTCAGAAAAACATACGCATATGGTAGCCCCTGGATAAATAGCTAGAAATTAAACCAATGCAGAAAAAATGGGATTAATTTACGTAGGAAAGGAAAAGTGCATTGTGGGCAGCGGGGAGTGAAATATAGGTCTGAAAGTGGCCTCACAAAGGTGGTCATCTCTGCAGTTTCACAGAGCTGCTAACAACTATTTTGCTGAGATTTCACACACAACATACAATGTGTTCTTCATGGAATTTGACATATAAATTGTTTTTAAATCCAACTGCTTGAATATAAATATGCTATAAGAATGTCCCAAAGACTATTACGTAAAGTAAATCACTTCTAAACCCAGAGGTGAATTTCAGATTAAACAAGGGGCAGGGAAGCTGATGGACAAAATAGATAGCAGCACAGTGTCCCACAAAGCCATCCCCCAGCATGACACCACTTTTGCCAGGTAAAATCTGCATTTAAAGTCTAAACAATCTGTTGTAAACTATTTTTTCTACTTCAAGAAATCAGGCAGGTTTTAAAAGCTGTTGTTTATCTGGAATTTTCCATACTTGACTCAAGTCAAAATATTCCTTAAATGTTTCACATGATGAATTTGGCTGTGTCTCTCGTGTAACGCTGAGGGGTTACACAGCTTGTTGCTACATAAACAAAATAAACTCTTCTGAGGCATCCTTCAAAATGTAAAAGATTGTCAGCCTATGGGCCACAAATCTGAGGTCCTCTGACCTTAACATACTTCTCTATTGAATTGGGCCTTTGAGGAATTTCAAGAAGCAAAAACCTGCCACGTGTATCATGGATTTCTTTCCTGGACAGGTTCCTATGATGGATTTGAATAATATGGAAAATGGAATGAGCTCAACTTTTCCATCTCTTTTGATTTCAGACAATAATAATCCCAAGACTCCTGGAGATGTCCCCACAAGGCAGCATATAAGATTAAAACAGTGAAGTTCCCAACTTCTCCCCAGCATCCTCTTTCTGCCCACTTTGATTAAGCAAGTTTGGGTGTGTTCTATCTGCACTAGACACAATGAATGCGGAAGACTCCTCAGTAACCCTCCCCTTTCTTAAAAAAAAAAAAAAAATGGAACAAACGTACATTAGTTTTTTGGATATCTTTCCTTCTATGAATGATCCTTTATCTTCTGATGTGTTACTTCTGAGATTCAGGGCATTGTCGTGCAATGTTGACGTGGAAATGATGCAATATTAAGTTAAATGGGATTACCTAAGCCTCCTGCCTCCTCATAAGTGGCTAGAAATATGAAATGGAAATTTAAAATGTAGCCTTAGGAACTATTTGCTGCCCTTTTTACAACTTATTTTTCAATATTTGGCTATTCCTTGAGATAATCTGAAATTCCAGTATTGAAACCCGAAGACTGGATTTCTAGGCAAGGCTCCTCCATTTATAAGTGACTTGATCCTAAAGTAGTGTAGTAGTCACTTCACATCACTGCTGTTTGAAGAAAGCAGTGTGTCATTTAATTGAAACTGATAATAGACCTACACATACAACTCAAGGTGGATGTGGGGTCAAGAGGCTGTGAATGCATACTTTACCGCTGTTAAGTGTTCAATAAATTTGGAGGGCCGGCTCCGTGGCTTAGCGGTTAAGTGCGTGCGCTCTGATGCTGGCGGCCCGGGTTTGGATCCCGGGCGCGCCCCGAGGCACCACTTCTCCGTCCAGCGCGAGGCCGAGTCCCACGTACAGCAACTAGAAGGATGTGAACCTATGACATACAACTATCTGCTGGGGCTTTGGGGGGAAAAAATGAATAAATAAATTTGGAGATTTTTCTGATCCATGGAGAAGAGTAATAGAGAAAAATTTAAAGAAACAAGACTGTGTAGGTACTAATTTTCCTTCTGTGTGTGGGTGAATATATAGAAGGACAGTAAAGAACAGCATATTTTAATAACTGCTAGGGTTTAAAATTTCAACGATTTCACAACCCCTTGAGGATCAAACCCACATTCTTCACATAAACTGACCCAGCTCTACACGCCACTGCAAGAGTGGTCTGTTCCAGGCCTTCCACACATCTTGGGGGATCTGTCTTTTTTTCTCATGGCACACCTTGTCCAGGAATGCCTCTGATTCCTCCTCTCTATCTGAGTTCCATCTAGGGTCCCCTCCTCTTCCAAAAAACCTCTGTAGGACACCTCAACACTCTCTGGATCCTTATCTCCTTAAAATTTCTGAAGCCTTATTTGTACCATGTGGTTGGCTGCTATTGAACATTGTCTTGTTCTATTATTTAGCCCACAGAGATTTGTGTGCCTTCTACATGCTGGGCTCTGGTACTACAAATGCAGTAGAAGAAGACAGGGAAGGTTCCTGTCCTCGAGGTGTTCATCAGGGCAGCACAGTGGTGCCGTGGCAGATGTTTGAGTCAAGTGCTGTGTAAGACTGACCTAACTCACTGGGTGCAGAATCATGACATTCAGCCGTACCCCCCTCTTCTACTCCTTACTGCTGTCACCTCCTGGCCTTCTGGTTCCTTCTCCTCACTCAAAAAAATTGTGCCACCTGGTTTAGTCTTCGCCTCCATACTGCTGCCATCATCCCGGTCACTTCACAATCCATGTGCCCTGGCCTTTTGAGTCTCTGGCTTCCTCATCTAGACCTCAGACTTTTATTCCTATGGTTACCACCCAACTGATCCATTTCAGAAGTCACTAAGTCAAACATCTTTTTCACTACACAAAATTTTCCCTGCTAAGTAGCCCCACGGTGACAGTTCTTCAATTTTACCAGGTACTTCTAGTTGACTAACTCCTCCATTTTCTTCCCATGTATCTATAGCTCCCTTCTGTCTTTACTTCCCTCACTATCCAAATTAGAGTCTATCATTTTAATTTCTGTATTTTAACTATCTTAAACTCCAGTACACTTGGATCTGTCCCAAATCCCTGAAAAAGCCCCAACCCACGAAGAAACCCACCATCTACTTTTCTCATGTCTGCATATGGGAAGTCGAGCGTGACTGGAGCAAAACACACGATGGGAATATCAGAAGCATACAAATTGATGAATGGTTTAGCAGCACCCAGCTCGAAAGCCTGGATCTCCAACTTTTTAACGTCCATTTCAAACCTACTCTCATCTCTTCCAATATCCAACTCTCTTGTTATCATCACTTGACCTTAACCCGACTTCACAGAAAGGGAAGGAGTGAGACGAACCTTTCTGCATCATTCACTCCCTAGCATATGCTCCCCTACAATTAAAATCTCCTCTTCCCTTTGTTACCACAGGGCTTTTCCTCCTCCTACCAAGCTGCTATGTGGAGACTCAAATGGGTTCCTTGCTCTGAAAGTCAGACACAGAACCTGGCCATCACCCTGCCCTGGACAAGGGGTTCTAAACACACCACTTTTGCTTCAGTTGGTGTCTCTGGGCTACTCTGTTCTTTATGGCCCAGAGACTGATTCCTTGGAGACCACAAGGGAGCTTAGCAGTTATCCCCATTACCTAGCTTTATGGGAAAACGCTGGGACTTGATGTGTTAAAGGATACAAGTGAATAAGCAAGGCAGGAGGAGAGATAGGAGGAAAGAAGGAAAAGATGAGAAAGGCAGGAGCTCCTGAGTGTGTGCTCTCAGGGACCAGCCAGTATCCATCTTGCTCAGTAATAGAGGCATTATGGAAGGATGCAGTGAATACAAATGTGCTATGCAGATGCTATGACCAGCAAAGATTTAAGAATCACAAGGAACAGAAACTAGACACTGGCTTATCAAACTCATCAGTTTCCAAACACTCAATGTATCAAAGAAATGCTCTGCCAGTCACTGAGGGAGAACATAAACACGTATCTCTGTGAAACTCCATGCTAGCCATTTCCTTCACATGGAGATCACCACCCGCCTTTCACATTATTAATTCTTTTTTATCTTTTACCATCCTGCTTTTATTTCTCATTCTCTGTGAAGCTTTCTCCAAATCCCAGAGCTAGTGACTACTTGTTCTGTGTCCCCACAGCTGATGGGTGAATTGGTCAGGCATGTATCACCATATAGTGGGATCAACACTCATGCATTCTGTCATCCCCCCTTACCAATCTGCCTAATTCACCATCGTGTCTCCTGTACCCAGCGTAATTCCTAAGAATCCAGCACACTCCTGTGGAATGAATGAACAAAAGGATGAGACCAGATGAGAAATGTAGCCCCCTCTCCTCCTCTCTGTGAAGGTCATGAGGCATCCTTAACAGCACCTCACCTCGGTAATCTCTCCACTGCAGTCAGCACTCTGTGCTGATCCATCAATCACTGCTTGTCCTACCTGGTTGAAGGAAGATGGGTGCCACCAGCTGAGACCCTAAGAGTACACTCGGCCCCTCACCTCGCTTGCTGGCAGACGCAGCAGATCCACACCTTCTCGTGCTTCTGGTAGGAGCAGCAGCTCTTGCAGACATTGAACTTGCAGTCCCCACACCGGCGCTTGGTGTTGACGAGGAAGGTGAAGGGCGAGCAGCAGCGCATGCAGCAGTGCTCCACGAACTTCTGGTGCTTTGAGAGGATGCTGCACTTGCTGCCCTCCTCATCCAGCTTCTGCTTCATCTCGCTGGGAAACCGGGGCGGGGGAAGGGTGAGGAGAAGAGAAACAGAACATCAGGTCTGGGGCTCTCTCCCTAAAGCATCCTGTCCTGTCCCTCCCATAGGCCAAGCTACCATGTAGGATCTTCCGGTAAAACAATGAAACTCAGAAAGATCTGAGACATACTTGCTTGACATACTATCCGGAGCAGAACCCTAATAAAAGTGGATTAATTCTGTGTACTTCTGTATGTCATATTTTCTATGAGAAAGCACAAAAACCTTATTACTTATATTTCAGGTACTAGATTGAGATATGAATTATTATAAAACTAAGCACATCCTTGAACAATAAAACTCTTAATTAATGCCTTTGGAAAGGAGCAGGAGATCATTTATGTTAAAACATGAATCCTCACAACAGCCCTGCTGGGAATATGATAAATGCAGTCCTGGCCCTATTTAACATCTCTGGAAACTGAATCATCCAGGGATTTTAAAAGCTTTCAAATCAACATAAGTCAATAAGGATTCTCTGGGTGATGGGCAAATCCTAAGGTGATTCAGAGTTGAATAAAAGACAAGCTCCGTCTTCCAAAGAGCTCATGGTCATAGTGGGTATACAGCCAGTCATACTAATGCAAAACACGACTTCTCTCTACACTCCAGGAGAAGGAAAGGAGTAACCCTGAGAGGCAAGGATATACCCCAAACAGACTGAGTTACCTAGGAAAGAACTGACTGCAAGTAACCAAGTTACTCTGACTTGGTAAGTTTGAGCTGTTTTTCCTGCTACAAAAATAGATGCCCACAAACAGTAACAGAAAAATAATTCATTTAATAATTTAAAATCTATTTTTCTGTACCCAGTTTGTGCTTGTATAATTCATCATGGATAAATCTATGATTTATGTGACAAATATTTTCTCCCATTTTGCACTTGTCTTTTCAACTTATGTTGTCTTTCATCATTTAGAAGTGTTTAATTTTTCTGTAGTTAAATCTGTCAGTCTTTTCTTTAATGGCTTCTGAGTTTTACATCTTGCTTAAGAAGGCCCATACTACACCAATCCATTTTATACATACTCAAATAGCCCCCGCAGTGGGTTGAATGGTGGCCCCCCAAAAGATATGTCCAAGCCCTAACCCATTGTAACCTGAAATGTTACCTTATTTGGAAAAAGGGTCTTGGGAGATGTAATTAAGGTAAAGATCTTGAGATGAGAGCATCCTGGATTACCCTGGTGGGCCGTAAATTCAATGACAAGTCTCCTTGGAAGAGACACACAGCAGCAGAGAAGACAATGTTAAGATGGAGTGAAAGTCCTCAGCCATCCCTGCCTCAGGGATTCCTCCCGTGGCCCTGTCGCTGGCCATGTTGCTGTCCCTTCTCTGCCCATCCAGGCTCCCTCCTGACTCCACTCTTTCTTTCCAGGGTCTTCCATGGCCTGGCTGACCAGAGGAAAATTCTCAAAATCCATGACCTAAATGGTAAACAGTAGCTTTGTACACAGGAGTCACCCTTGCCTGACACATTCGGCATGGGAATAAATTAATCAGGACACAGGTAAGTAAAAAGGAAAAATATTAGCATTACCTGCATTCTTCTACTCAGAGCTATTTAGGTGAACATCCTTCCTCTCCCTTACTCTCTCTCGCTCCCTCCCCTGCCCTCATATTTTAAAATGGGAAGGTTGAAGCCTACAAAATTGTCTATCTTTGTTTAGATTTTCAATTGTGTTGGCATAAACTGGTTCACAGATTTCTCTCATGCTTTAAGTCTTCTGTTATATTTGTAATCATGTCCCCCTTTTCTTTCTGAATATTGCTTATTTGAGCCTAAGCTTTTTTACCCCTTGATTAGTAAGTTCTGAGGTTTATTTATTTTGTTAATTTTAATGAAGAACTAGCATTCAGTGAAGTTGATTGTCTACATTGTTTACCTGTTTTCCATTGCAATAAAGTCCAGTCTTATCTTTATTCTGCATTCTACTAGTTTTGAATTTGCTCTATTCTTTTTTATTTTTTTATTTATTTATTTTTTTATTTTTTTTTTTTTTAAGATTTTATTTATTTAT